CGCACCAACTGTCCCCAGCGGAGATGTCCAATGGGAGCTCCCAAGTCTTGGAGCAGTAGCAGGGAGTGTGTGGTTCAACAGCCACACCCCAACAGACTTACCTCCTTCGGAAGCAGTGCTCACAGGCTTGGACACTCAGCACAGCTGACTGGCAGCCCCCTAATTGGAAAGTTCAAGCTGAGGAGCCAACGCGTGAGATGGCCGCTCAGAGTCCAACTGCAGCACGTTTAAATTTAAAGGTAACTGGAATAGAATGTTGGGGAGGGGTGGGGGAGGGGTGGCAGGAGTGTTCCTGGTGGCTCTGGCAGGGTGGGTAGAACCTCAAGTGCTTTGGAAGTTTTACAGTGGCCACACAAATGGTGTGTCTCTTGAGCAATTTAAACATTGTTGCTGAGATTTCCAGCACTGAGACTGTATTGCTTGTCACCCCTTTCCCAGCTGGTATCAGTAAACCTCCTTTGGCGTTCCCCACTAGTCCTGCTTCCCTGTGCTGGGAGTCTCCTGTGCATACCTCCAACATGTTCAACTCCACATTCAACAGTGTCTGCTCCTTCTGCTCACAGTTCTGTGTGCAAAGTGCGAGAAGGACAGGCTTACTCAGGGGAGGACACGGGAGGTCATCTGAGCAGTTCCGATGGTGCTTGTGCTTTTGCCTGCATGCAGTCTTTCCTGAAGTACTCATTCAAGTACTCATGTCGCTCCGTGCTGGCTACTGCTGGAGCTTTCATTCTGCAGAGGATGTTCCAACTGGAGATCCTCTTGTCAGAAAGGCCATTCCATCATGGACCGTAGCAAAACCTAGAGAAGCACCTGGGCTACCGCTCTCCCATAGGAAGTCTTCTGTCTGGCAGGCCCCAAGACCACCGAGGGGTGAGGCGACATGTTCTTCTTCAGCAGTAACACTGGAGACAAGCTGCTGGTGAGGGATGTCCATTGGTTTGAGAGACGTCACAAGCTTGTGTACTATGGTAGGAAAAGGATGCAGGCAGAGGGGTGTTGCCGACGGTACTTCCACCAGGAAATGACATAGTGACTGGCTAATAGGTATGATGATCTCTTTGGAAGCTCCCGTGAAGTTCAAACCCATGAAGCACAGAGAGCACAGAAAGCTATGTCTCAGGACCAGGTGGTGAGCTGCTGAAAAGCAGGGTGAATGTAACATTTGACTTGCTAGAGTTGTTTGCCAAGAAAGTCCTAGCACAGTTTGATCCAGAGGCAGAGAAGAGAGATTGGAGTGCAGGGCATCACTCTTGCTGCATGCCCAGTGAACAGGCCAGGTTGGGGCCTCAGTTAGCCAAGACTCCTGTCAGGGCTTCCCCCAGGGACACGGTGTGCCATGTGCCTATGGCCTCCCACATGGGCTAGGCAGGCAGAGATGCAGGGGCGATTTCCCACATCTCATGTCTTGTATATCTTTGGTCCTGGGAGTATGTGTGGTTAAATCTGTGCTTTTGATTCCCGGCACTGATTTCCATGGAAGGGTGTGGCCCACAAACTGTTTATGAATTGCCAAAGGTGTGTGGGATATGTAGAGATGGCTCTTCCTCCCAGCAAGCTGCCTGGACCTCCCATTTCCTTCTCCAGAACAAGTCTTTTTTATAGGTGTTCCTTCTCAGTACAAGCATGCAGGCACTGGGTTCCTAGAGCCTTCTTTCTCTAGAGACAAGAAACCCAGCGCCCTTAGAGTGGCCAAGCACTCATTTGTCCACGTGACAAATGTACAACTCTGCGTCTCCAGGATGCCTTGCCTCCCGATGCCTTGCATCCAAGTGGATGCTTTCTTTCTGCAGCACTTGTCTCCACCCGATAGCCTCACTGCAGTGAATCCTGGAGAAGGTTCCTTGTAGTGACGGACACCAGTGTGTTTGGTGTGTATAAGATGAAAGGTTCTGTAGGTATCCATTCTGTCCACTTGTTCTGTTGTCTGGGTGAGTGCTCTTGTTTGCTTGCTGAGTGTGTTAGTTTAGCTGGGTACACTAAGCTTTATGTATGTACCTTCCTACTCATCATTTCCTCCGGTTGAAAGTCTGCCTTAATCATGATGTGGTGTCTTTGTGTTTTAATGCCTTTCACATGGTTGTTTGGGTTATGTGATACTAATGTGGTTATTCCATTTTGTTTCCCTTTCCATTGCTTGTGCTGTCTTTTTCCCTTTTTGGACTTTGCGTTTCTGCCTAGCTTTGTGGGTTGATGAGGGAGGAGAGTTTGTTCGCTCCTAGGCAATCTGGCTGCTGCAGTGTCGCTCTGCTCTCTCCCACTGCTTCCCTGTGTGCACGTGTTGGCAGCTGTCTCTCTGGCACTGATCTGCCTGCAGGTGTCATCCAGGATTCCATGCTGTCTGCTTCTCTTCTGTTCACCCTTGTCTGTCCATCTTAACGTGTCCTGACCCTCTGCCTCCATGTTGGTTTCTGCTTGGAACTCTTCCACCATGCCTCACGGTTCTAGTTTCTCTGCAACTTTCAGTGCACTGGCTATGCTCATGCTTCTGGTGTGCTTTTGCTGCATGATCGTGATTTGTGTTGACCCGCGTGAGTGAAATGGAGCACATTGTCTCCTGCTTATTTTCCATGTATGTGCATTCTTTGGGGGAAGTGACGGTTGCTGTCAGTTGCCCAGTTGAATGGGATGATGACTCTTCATTTTGCTGTTGAGTTGGCATCGCTTACCTAGTTGGCCATGAGCCCTGTAGTTGACACCCAGTTTGAAATAATGTTTTCTCGTGAATTGTAGTGTCACTGGCGTTGGCACTCTGTCGGTTATATGCTTTATGGTGCAGCAGCCGCTTGCTTGGCTATAGTCTCATTTGCCTCTGTTTGGTTGCTAGTTTGGTGTTTTTTGCCTGTGCTTTTGGTGTTACCTGCACGCAATCATTGTGAAGATTACCATCATGAATCTCTTCGCTCATGATTTCGGGTAGACATTTCATGATTGCAGGTCACGTTTCCATGATTCATCCATTTTGTATCCTGCTTTTCTGCAATTTAACATGTAAAGTGGGAGCAGCAGCAGCTGTTCATGTGAGGCCTTCCTTTGCTACCTGGATTTTGTGGTCGGAGATTGGCCTAAGTCCTGTTTTGTTTGCATCCCCCAGGTATGTGTGTTTTGGTGGTGGGTTTTATATACTTCCCATCCAGGATTAGACACTGCGATGTGTAGAGTTTGAAGGAGAGTGGCAGAGCATGAGGCATGGAGGGGACAAGGGCAGAGGGAGGTCAGGAGGGAGACAGAGCGAGAGAGACGCCAGTGGGTCTTGCATCCACTGGTTCACTCCCCAGACGGCTGCAGCGACTGAGCCCAAACCACATTCAGCATTCTCTGACTGCATCCATCTGTCCAACACAGCTGCAGGGGCTGAAGTAGCAGGCTTAGCTCTGCTGACTGGAAGAAGCAGGACTGGCGCCAGCACCCTTGTGGGATACACGTGTTGCAGGTGGTGCGTCCCAATGCTCTGCCACTAGAGCAGCACATCCCACACATTGTGAAACCTTGCATGCTCAGGGTCACCTAATTTACAATACCTTCTAATGTTCTTTTCTGTGTCTGTCTTTGGGGTTAGTCAATAGTGTGCACTTTGCTTTAGGATTCTTGGAGCTCTTGTAGCTGTGCACCTACGAATGCTTGTCGCTTTGATTTCCTTGCACAATATGGCCACACTCTACTTGATTTCAATGAAGATTTCTATGGACAAACATAGGGTAGGTAGCTCTTGGAAGGGTAGCTTAGGACAGCACGTGCTAAGATGTGTGTCAAAAGCATATAGTATAGTGATGTGGGATGGCATGTTGTGTTCCTGTGAAGCAGAATCTATCGAAGTGCATGTTTGTTCAAGTCTTCAGCGGATTGGTGCTGATTTTCTGAGTGTTCTTTTGGTTCTTTTTGTGCATGGTTGAGAACCCAGGGTATGCAAAGAGTCAAAGAAGAACTCGGCCGTGGGGGGCACTGCGCACTGCTGTGTGTCCCTGTGCAGGACAGGTTTTGTGAAGAGAGCAGGAGAAAGAGAAGCATGAAGTGGAGGGGAGGGAAGGCCTTGGCTGGCCGCATGTGCAACCAGCAGCTGGGAGTCCTGATCCATGTTTCCTCACTTGTTCAGTGTACTGAAGCCAGAACAGAAGAGAGCATTTTCTAGTTCCGTTTCTTTATTGAAGCAAACAGTGTCCCTCAGAAAAGGTCCCCACCCCACCCTCTAGATCCCTCCACCTGGGAAGCCCACCCCCCTCCACCTGGGAAGCCCACCCCCCTCCCTCCCTGGGCACAATGGGTTTGAACAACAAGAGTGGCGGTGGTGCAAGAGACAAGGATCCATGTCCTTTTGGCTGGCACGTAGTGGGGCAGCTTCCCAGAGGCCACAGGCTCGCGCCTGGCCTCAGTATCGCATCTTTTTGTTTATATCGCCCCAGGAGTCAGCCTTCCTCTTGTGAGCCTGGCAGTGTGGCACAGACTCCAGAGCTGGGGCCTGTTCTGCAGAGGCCTTGGAGCCAGCCCTCGGGCAAGGCTTGTTTAGTCTAGGGCCTGGGTCCGCTAGAAGAGCCTGCTTCTTGCTATTGGTAGCAGGTGGTGGAGGACCAGTGAAGGCCCTTCCAAGATTGGAGGTGGGCTTGTGTGCTCTGCCTGGTTTCCCAGGTGCAGGACAAGGCAGGTCCTCAGCAGAGACCTGGCTCTGGGCAAGTCTCAAGGGCAGCAGATGGTGCTGTGAATCAAGGAAGAAGGCCAGGCTGGGCAGTTCCTCGTCGTCCTCACCAGTCAGATCCACGACTGGTGGTGGCTCCTCCACAGAGCATTGTCCTTGTGAAGCCCTGGCTGCCTTGGGCACCTGTGTGGAAGGGGCTCTGGGAGAAGTGGGCCTAATGTCCCCCAGTAAAGGACATGTCTTGTCCCCAGAGAAGCCAGCATTGTCTTTGTGCATGGACAGGCGGGTGTCTGGGACCACGCATCTCTCAGGCTTCCAGCAAGACATGCTTTGGGCGGAGGTCTCCGCACTGAGCCCAGGGCTGGGAGCACGGTCATCTCTCTGTGTGCCTTGCAGGGCTCTGGAATCCGAAGTACTGGCTTCCAGTAGGGGTGTCGCAGGCCTGGGTTTTTTCCCGCATGGTGCCATCCGTCTTCAAGGGCCAGAGGTTCTTGTCCACCACCTGCAGGAGGAAAGAGGCACTGAGTGGCTCTGCAGCTGGTGTCAGAAGGACCATGGGGTCCAGAGCAGTGGCCAGGGGAGGAGGGAGGCAGGCCAGAGTCGCTGGGCTTTCTTTGTAGAAGGAGGCAGCTGCTCTGCTGTCATCGTGCTGGGGCTGGTTGCAGTGCAGTTCTGCACACTCACCTGACCCTGGTTCTCCTGGCTCCTTGCTATATGTGTGTACCTGCACCACACTGGAAGCAGTTCCTTTGCAAGTCCCGCATGGCCAGCATGTCGGGGGAGACAGGCTCTCGGGGCCTACTGTGCTGGAGACCCACTTGCACACAGTTGACCTAGTTGCAGGCCTCGCCCAAATGTAGCTGCTCTTCCACAGCGCCCCTCTTCTGTTTTCCTGGTGCGTATCCCTGCCCTGTCTGCATGCTGCGCCTTGCTGCCCTTCCCTGCTTGAGGTTCCTTCCTCCCTCCCTCCTTCACCTGGTCAGGGTTCAGCCCTTCCTCCTTGTCCTTGTCCAGCTCTTCGGCTAGGGCCACGAGATCCAGCTGTGGATTTGGTGAAAGGAGCTCTTCCAGGAATCGCGGATGGATGATGGTCTCCACCTAGCAGAGAAGGAAGAGGTTTCTCTCATTCTTTCCAGAAGTCACCAAACTATGGGACTTGAAGGAGAAGCAGAAAGCAGTGAGCAGCAGAGCGCCATGCCCAGCTTGGGATGCCCAGTCGGCAGGGCTGCCAGCTACTCACGCACACTGGTACACCCAGGGGTAGTAGCTAGGGAAGTGAGCTTGATCCAGGGGCATGAGATGGTCACGGCCCAGATTGGACAAATCGTAGAGTGGCACAGCCCACCTTGGTGACAAAGTCATCTTGGGAGCACAGCTGGTCAAGGTAACTCAGGAGCTCTGGGTCGGGGCCCAGTCCCTCCTGCTGGGGCTGCAGCATGCCGTCCTCTTCTGGCTGTTCACTGGGCTGGCCCGAGGCGGAGGGCCCCAGCTCCAGCAGTGCATCCATGATGTCCATGTACTCGCTCACGGCCTCTGGAGGGATCTCCTTGGGTGTCCTTTCCCGAGAGGCCTGGTGTCTTTGTGGCAAGGGTTTGTTGGGCAGAGCTTTGGAGCTGTTCTTCTCGCGGGCATGCTCTATGGGAGGAAAGAGGCGAGTGAGGTTCAGGGGCTCGAGCTCCGCATCAGCCACGTTGCAGAGGGCGGTTGTTGGGCATGTGAGCTGGTGGGGCTGGTCCAGCACAAGCTGCCGACGGCACCTGGAGTGGGCTGAGGTGGAACGTGTGAGGCACTCACTGACATGCCCCGTGGTCTGCCGCCAAGCCCATGTCCTCTGCAGAAGGTGAGGATGTGTGTGGTGTCCCTAGACAGAGGCACTGCCGGCGTGGTCAGACAGCTACTACCGAGTTGTGACCCAAGGCTCAGGCAACGTGGGCTGTCAGGGGCACATGCTGAACAAGAAGACACAAGTGCTGCTCTTGCAGGAAAAGGTCCGGAGGATGGGTTAGTCACACCCAGAGAACCTTGTCCTGTGCAGTGTTGTGTGTGGTGGCAGGGGAAGCTCACTGTACCTGGTTGCTGGAGGGCCACAGGGCTTGGGGGCCCAGGAGGAGCCAGCTGCTGTGGTGTTGGCAGGGGCTGGCACAGGTTCTCTTTCTTCCACCCCAGGTTTTGAATTTGTATCTCCTCCTCTGCCTCAAACTCCGTGAACCTGGGAGAAGGAAAGGCAGGTCCCACTTGAGTGATCGAGGAGGCCCTGAGCCAGCACAGGGCAGCAACTGAGGAGCGAGATATGGAAATGGGCTTTGTGGTGAGCCTGGGCCTACTGAGTTGCAGCGCTGGGAGGGACAAATGTTATGGGAAGCAGCTAAGTGACATGTGGTGTGGTGTGCACTTTCAGACCTGCAACAGGCCTCGTTGACTAAAGCAGGACCAAGCTGACGCCCTGAAGGCCATGTGGGTCTCGAAGCCAGGCCCATGAGGAGAGCTGTCAGCAGAGGCTGGCCAGCACCTCATTTCTCCTAGTCTATTCCAAGGTCCTGGCCCAGGATTAGGGCCTGAGAGGCTGTGGGTCGTTGAGTGGAAGTGTTGGAATTGAGGCTCGAGGGGCAGGTGGGAGGCTGGGGAGTCCTAGCTAGGAGGTGGTATATTTCCATGTCAGAGTGGACAGCATGGAGTGGTGGAAAAGGCCCTCTCTGGGCCTTGGGGTATCTTAGACACCAGCTCTCCATGGCCATGCTCTGAAACAGCATCTCTGGGATGGTGTGTCTCACTTTTGGAACATGGGTTTGAGTGGATCGGGCCAGTTCAGTGCATGAGCCTGAGGGGTCTGTGTGGTGCAGCTGGTGCCATGTGCGCAGTGCCCACGGTCAGAAGACAGCCAGTGATGGTGCTGCTTGTTCTACCTCAGCCTTCCAAATGAAGGCAGGTATCCTCAGCTGAAGCTGTGGGAGGATGTTCTGTGCTTGGGGCAGAGTGAGAAGAAAGCAGCCAGAGACCCTCCACAGCCACGTGGTAGGGGCAACACCCTGGGATGGCAGGGCCCCCGGATGGGCTGAGGCCGGAAACAGGCCTCTTGTCAGCCTGTGAGTTGCCAAGTGCGCCCCCCCCACCCGAGGCCTAGCCTCTCTATCCACCCTCCTTCAGCACACGTGGTGTCAGGTGCAGGCATCTTGACTCACTTTTCTGCCATTTCATAGTAGATCATGCGGTCAAAGTTGCTCTTGTGCTGCCATTCCCGCATGGCAATCCGCATGCCATCATCCAGTGGCATGCTGGGCTTCCTCTGGGCCAGCGTGCGCAGCACCGGGCTGTAATTTGGCAGAGTCAGTCACGGGGCAGCAGTGCTGTCCCCACGCCCTGTCCCCTGCCACAGCTCCCCAGCTCACCAAGCTGAGTCAGGCCACCTCCCTGCTCTGCTTCCATCAGACCTGTGGTCTGCCCCTGTCTCATCCTCCTCTGCAGTGGCCACTCTCCACCCTCCCGGACCCCCTTGCATGTGTGGCACATCAGCAGCCAGGGCTGCATTGGCCTGTGTGTCCTCTGCTTGAGACCTCGATGTCATTGTGCACAATGGCCTGAATGCTGTGTCACAATCCATAAGTGCGATGCCTAGTCCTCAATGTGATGATGGCCTCTTGAGTGGTTTGGGGGTTGCGTGGGTTAGAGGACGTTTTGTATGTGGAGCTCCCTTGATTGGATTGTTGTCCTGAGAGAAAGAGCAAGAGACACCATGACCCCGTGTCTCAGTCCCCTCAGCTCACACAGTGAGGAAGAGGCTTGTCAGGCTGGGAGAGCAGCCTCACTGGGATGTGAATCCTGCCGATGCCTTGTTTTCAGATGTCCATTGTGCAGATGTGAGAGGTGAGCATGTGTGGCTGCACGTGCGTAAGCTGTCGGGGACAGAGAGTGTCCTGGGAGTCAGGGTTCAGCAGCGGTTTCCTGGCCCCGTGACTGGGCCTCGAATCAGTGTGTTGGAGAGGCAGCAGTTGTGGACGTGAGCCAGCCCAGTGCTGCTGGGGCTCAGGAGCAGAAGAGGGAGCCTGTGAATGGCCTGCGTGTGCCCAGTTACAATCGCAGAACCTTGAAGTATGGGTTTAGGGACTGGGGGCAAGATGTGCTCTCCCGGGGATGTTGACTATTCAGAGCTGTAGGGGAATGGAGATGGTCATGTGCACAACATTGAGCTCCCTTTCATTTACAGGCCTGATGCAGATGCTGCTGGACAGCCACAGGGGTCAGGCCACACAGGCACATTGGACTGTTGCGTGGAAAGTGGGCCGTGTGTGCCATGATGGTTGGGCATGGACCAAGGGTGTGCATGGTCAGGAGAGGTGAGTGTGGGACTGAGGGACAAAAGCCCTTTGCCCTGAAGTCACAGCCTCCCAGGAGGAAGGCTGCAGGCTTGGCTGTGTGGCACAGAGTGTCCTTCATTTCTGAAGCCATGACATTTGTTTTGGGGCTCTGTTCTGCACAGTGCCTGTGCGTCGTGATGATAGCTCCCAGTGTCTAAGCTTCATTGTCTGCGGTCAGCGTGCATAGCTGGTATCTGCGTAGCCCATCATGTTGAGCCAGTGCCATGTTCATGGGGAAACCAGTCATGCCTTCCTGTGTGAGGGCTCTGGGATGTGGATGTTAGTAGGAGCCCAGGACAGACAGCAGTGATGGGGGTCGCACGTGGCCCAGTGTGGGCTTGTGACCAGCTTTTTCTATTCCTCGCATTCCCCAGAAGAATGAGGTGAGAGCTCTATACAGGTCTTGTTGGGGTGCTTGCATCCCTTATGAGCCCCTTCTCCTGTGAATTTCCCAATGGCATTGACCTGTGTGTGTGTGTGTGGCAGGTGTTGCACTGCAAGACTCCATCCCTGAAGGGCTCTCGTGATAGCAGGGCCCTCTCTAACTAGCATCAATGGTGCCATGCAATGTATTGAGTAGCACAGAGAGGCTGTGCTCCTAGAGGATGAAGATCCAGAGTAGAAAACCTCTAAATGGTATCCCAAGCTGCATGGGAAAAACACACTAGAGAGAACCAAGCTGCTCATGCGTGGCCTTGTCTTTGCCCTTCAGGTGCTCCTTGATGCCCCGTGCATGGCATGACCGTGCCTACCCATTAGTCCTCCCTAGGCAGGGCTCCAGACTGCGTTCTGGGTCCCAGCGCCTGGCACTCACATGAGGAAGCAGGCTAGAGCTTCGGCATCAGGGCTCTGCGGGAGGTGCCTGCGGGCCAGGGTCTTGAAATGCTGCCAGCGCCGGAAGTTGTTGTAGACGCTGGAATCCCCCGATGGAGCTTTGTCCTTGGAAGTAGGCAAGGAGCCCTCTGTGCTTGCTCCCTGTTGTGGAGGCCCGTTGTCTGCGGGGCACAGCGTGGGAGCCATCTGGACAGCCGGTGGTGGAGCTGGAGGTGGTGGAGCTGCTCCCTGTGTGCAGCCCTGCTGGGTGCCCTGAGCCCTGATTATGGTTGGTGCAGGCGCTACTGGCTGCAGGGAAGACTTGGGCAGCAAGAGGGGAGCAGGCTTCTTTGCCTGTGCGCAGAGGGCCCCCTGGACACTCCAGTTGAGAGGGGCTTGATGAAAGACCAAGGTCTGAGAGCGTGGAGGCTCCACCACTTGCCCTTGAGTGCTCAACTGGAGGAGGATGTTGAGGTTGCCAGTCTGGTTTGGGCCACAGGCAGCAGTACCTGCTGTCACCACAGGCATGGTGGGGAGGACAGCAGGCAGCACAAGGCGGCTGCCTGGAGGGCATGCTGCATTCAGGATGGGCGGTGGGCGTGGCCCGCTGGGGGCCTGGGTTGCTGGGCCCTGAGTTGGCTGGGGACAGGGCATGAGAATAAAGGAAGGTGTGGAGGTGCCAGGGTTCAGCGTCATGGCTGGTCTCAGCCCTGGAGCTGCTGTGGAGACAAAGCAAAGGGCTAATGGAGGATGGGCACCCGCAGTGCACAGTGTGGAGGGAGGCTCTGTGTTCCCTGTCAGTCACTGGTGGGACACTGAGGCCCTCTGGGGGCCTGGGATAGTGGTGGTATGGACATGTCCCTTGGTCAAGCTCAGGTTCTGTTCCTCCCATGGAAAGTATCCCCCAGAGCCTTCCCATCCTTCTGGTCCATCTCGTCAACCTGTCTCCCGGGGGGACCATGGCTCTGCCTGTCTTGAGGGTCTCCCCAGGGCATCTGTGTGAACACCTGGCCAGCCTCATAGCTGGATCTGGAAGCTTCAATCAGGACTGAGTCCTTGGCAGCTCTGCACCCCCTCAGTACTCAGCACTACTAGGTCAGGGGACTTCTTTAGACAGACAGAGCTTGAGTCCAGATGATCTAGACGCAGCCTGAAGATTCACAGTAGTGTGCCCTCATCTCTTGCCCAGGCTTCTTGAATGACTACTGCTATGAAGCACTTCTTTATTCTTAACCACTGTCTTTTCTAATAACCTATCCTATATTATATACCTAATGTAATGTATATTGCGTAGATAATAATATAATAGAATCTTGAAATAGACTATTACAATATTCTGTGTAGTAGAAGAAAAGTGAAACAAACACAGGCCCCAGATTTCTCTGCCAACTCGGGGGTAGCCAAGCAGGAGCAGACATGAGCTGGCAGCCATAGGACTAAGCTGACTGGAAGCCATCCTCGTGTAGGATCCATGCAGAGCCTGGTCAACAGCAGCGTGCACAACCACGTCCCCGATGACCAGTACTCTTTGAGGCTACAATGGATGGTAGCCTTCCTACCTGTCTGCTCGGCTCTTTCATTTCAGGAAAGGAACGCAGGGGGTGGGTGGATTGTAGCTGAGTGGGTAAACCCCAGCTTGGGGAAGTGCAGGAAAGGTTATCAGGTCACTGACTGGAGTCAAGTTCCTCTCAACTTTTCCAATCCAGCTTTGTGGTCATGTCTCCTATCCAAGAGGCGGCAGGTGCTCTGTGTTCTCAGGATGCTGTCTAAGAGGTGGAAGACGCAGGCAGCGTAGGTATCCTGGCATGCTAGTAGTATTATTTCACCTGCCGTAAATGTGGAAGCTCTCAGGCATTAGATCAAGCTGCTCAGTTTCCGTCTAGTTTCTTATGTGTCGTGGCATTGAAGGAACAAATGCAATGGGTGTTTGTTTGTTTGTTTGTTTGTTTCAGTTTTTGTTTTTTATTGGACAAAGAATAAAGGGGAAAGAAAGTACAGCCTGTGTTTCAGTTCTCTCTGTAAAGTCAGCCAGAGCCATGCAGGCTGGTCCTTGAAAAGAGCAGCAAGCTGAGAAGAGTCTACATATTTTGGGCAAGTCTTGAGCTCAGGGCCCACCATGGGATGAGAAGGGAGAGCAGTAGGTGAAGTACTTGAGTTTCAACTTGTGGGAGAAAACATTGGACTGAGTGAGGGAACCCCACGGACTGTGTGGTGGAAGGAAAGGGCACCACGGTCCTTGTCAAATCCAGATAGCAGCTACCGGGAGTCAGAGAAGCCGTCAGTGAGAGGGAAGGAGGCTGGAGACTCAGGCCTGCAGGGGACGGAGTAACCAGCAGGTCTCCACGTGGGAGAATATTTCTCTGCAGAGAGGGTGAAAGCAGCAACACCATCACTGTGCAGTTTCATGGCTATGTGCCCATATCTCTCACAGCCTCCTAATGTCTAGGACACCCCAGTCACCAGCCTGAGAACCATGTTGAGGTCACACTCTACATATGCCAAGAAAGGACAGGGCTCTAGTGTGCCTGTCCTCTTTCTCTCTCTGCCTCCACAGCAAAGCCCATCGCTCTTGCCTCTACAAAAGCACACTGAAGTGACCTCTGTGTGTGTGAGTATGTGTGTGTGTGTGTGTGAGTGTGTGTCTGGGTTGAGCCAAACTTCAAACTCATCTGTTCTCATCTCTGCCTCTGAAGCAGTGAATTTCTCCCTCAAGCATCACATTGCAGCTCTAAGGAGCCCTTCTCCTGCCGCCCCCACCCCTTTCAGCAATGTCAGTTCAACATGGGCTTCCAGAGTCTTCTCCCCAGGTAGTGTGAGCTGCTGGGAACCCAGGGCTTTCTCTCTACTCCACTTCAGGCGCACCAACTGTCCCCAGCGGAGATGTCCAATGGGAGCTCCCAAGTCTTGGAGCAGTAGCAGGGAGTGTGTGGTTCAACAGCCACACCCCAACAGACTTACCTCCTTCGGAAGCAGTGCTCACAGGCTTGGACACTCAGCACAGCTGACTGGCAGCCCCCTAATTGGAAAGTTCAAGCTGAGGAGCCAACGCGTGAGATGGCCGCTCAGAGTCCAACTGCAGCACGTTTAAATTTAAAGGTAACTGGAATAGAATGTTGGGGAGGGGTGGGGGAGGGGTGGCAGGAGTGTTCCTGGTGGCTCTGGCAGGGTGGGTAGAACCTCAAGTGCTTTGGAAGTTTTACAGTGGCCACACAAATGGTGTGTCTCTTGAGCAATTTAAACATTGTTGCTGAGATTTCCAGCACTGAGACTGTATTGCTTGTCACCCCTTTCCCAGCTGGTATCAGTAAACCTCCTTTGGCGTTCCCCACTAGTCCTGCTTCCCTGTGCTGGGAGTCTCCTGTGCATACCTCCAACATGTTCAACTCCACATTCAACAGTGTCTGCTCCTTCTGCTCACAGTTCTGTGTGCAAAGTGCGAGAAGGACAGGCTTACTCAGGGGAGGACACGGGAGGTCATCTGAGCAGTTCCGATGGTGCTTGTGCTTTTGCCTGCATGCAGTCTTTCCTGAAGTACTCATTCAAGTACTCATGTCGCTCCGTGCTGGCTACTGCTGGAGCTTTCATTCTGCAGAGGATGTTCCAACTGGAGATCCTCTTGTCAGAAAGGCCATTCCATCATGGACCGTAGCAAAACCTAGAGAAGCACCTGGGCTACCGCTCTCCCATAGGAAGTCTTCTGTCTGGCAGGCCCCAAGACCACCGAGGGGTGAGGCGACATGTTCTTCTTCAGCAGTAACACTGGAGACAAGCTGCTGGTGAGGGATGTCCATTGGTTTGAGAGACGTCACAAGCTTGTGTACTATGGTAGGAAAAGGATGCAGGCAGAGGGGTGTTGCCGACGGTACTTCCACCAGGAAATGACATAGTGACTGGCTAATAGGTATGATGATCTCTTTGGAAGCTCCCGTGAAGTTCAAACCCATGAAGCACAGAGAGCACAGAAAGCTATGTCTCAGGACCAGGTGGTGAGCTGCTGAAAAGCAGGGTGAATGTAACATTTGACTTGCTAGAGTTGTTTGCCAAGAAAGTCCTAGCACAGTTTGATCCAGAGGCAGAGAAGAGAGATTGGAGTGCAGGGCATCACTCTTGCTGCATGCCCAGTGAACAGGCCAGGTTGGGGCCTCAGTTAGCCAAGACTCCTGTCAGGGCTTCCCCCAGGGACACGGTGTGCCATGTGCCTATGGCCTCCCACATGGGCTAGGCAGGCAGAGATGCAGGGGCGATTTCCCACATCTCATGTCTTGTATATCTTTGGTCCTGGGAGTATGTGTGGTTAAATCTGTGCTTTTGATTCCCGGCACTGATTTCCATGGAAGGGTGTGGCCCACAAACTGTTTATGAATTGCCAAAGGTGTGTGGGATATGTAGAGATGGCTCTTCCTCCCAGCAAGCTGCCTGGACCTCCCATTTCCTTCTCCAGAACAAGTCTTTTTTATAGGTGTTCCTTCTCAGTACAAGCATGCAGGCACTGGGTTCCTAGAGCCTTCTTTCTCTAGAGACAAGAAACCCAGCGCCCTTAGAGTGGCCAAGCACTCATTTGTCCACGTGACAAATGTACAACTCTGCGTCTCCAGGATGCCTTGCCTCCCGATGCCTTGCATCCAAGTGGATGCTTTCTTTCTGCAGCACTTGTCTCCACCCGATAGCCTCACTGCAGTGAATCCTGGAGAAGGTTCCTTGTAGTGACGGACACCAGTGTGTTTGGTGTGTATAAGATGAAAGGTTCTGTAGGTATCCATTCTGTCCACTTGTTCTGTTGTCTGGGTGAGTGCTCTTGTTTGCTTGCTGAGTGTGTTAGTTTAGCTGGGTACACTAAGCTTTATGTATGTACCTTCCTACTCATCATTTCCTCCGGTTGAAAGTCTGCCTTAATCATGATGTGGTGTCTTTGTGTTTTAATGCCTTTCACATGGTTGTTTGGGTTATGTGATACTAATGTGGTTATTCCATTTTGTTTCCCTTTCCATTGCTTGTGCTGTCTTTTTCCCTTTTTGGACTTTGCGTTTCTGCCTAGCTTTGTGGGTTGATGAGGGAGGAGAGTTTGTTCGCTCCTAGGCAATCTGGCTGCTGCAGTGTCGCTCTGCTCTCTCCCACTGCTTCCCTGTGTGCACGTGTTGGCAGCTGTCTCTCTGGCACTGATCTGCCTGCAGGTGTCATCCAGGATTCCATGCTGTCTGCTTCTCTTCTGTTCACCCTTGTCTGTCCATCTTAACGTGTCCTGACCCTCTGCCTCCATGTTGGTTTCTGCTTGGAACTCTTCCACCGTGCCTCAGGGTTCTAGTTTCTCTGCAACTTTCAGTGCACTGGCTATGCTCATGCTTCTGGTGTGCTTTTGCTGCATGATCGTGATTTGTGTTGACCCGCGTGAGTGAAATGGAGCACATTGTCTCCTGCTTATTTTCCATGTATGTGCATTCTTTGGGGGAAGTGACGGTTGCTGTCAGTTGCCCAGTTGAATGGGATGATGACTCTTCATTTTGCTGTTGAGTTGGCATCGCTTACCTAGTTGGCCATGAGCCCTGTAGTTGACACCCAGTTTGAAATAATGTTTTCTCGTGAATTGTAGTGTCACTGGCGTTGGCACTCTGTCGGTTATATGCTTTATGGTGCAGCAGCCGCTTGCTTGGCTATAGTCTCATTTGCCTCTGTTTGGTTGCTAGTTTGGTGTTTTTTGCCTGTGCTTTTGGTGTTACCTGCACGCAATCATTGTGAAGATTACCATCATGAATCTCTTCGCTCATGATTTCGGGTAGACATTTCATGATTGCAGGTCACGTTTCCATGATTCATCCATTTTGTATCCTGCTTTTCTGCAATTTAACATGTAAAGTGGGAGCAGCAGCAGCTGTTCATGTGAGGCCTTCCTTTGCTACCTGGATTTTGTGGTCGGAGATTGGCCTAAGTCCTGTTTTGTTTGCATCCCCCAGGTATGTGTGTTTTGGTGGTGGGTTTTATATACTTCCCATCCAGGATTAGACACTGCGATGTGTAGAGTTTGAAGGAGAGTGGCAGAGCATGAGGCATGGAGGGGACAAGGGCAGAGGGAGGTCAGGAGGGAGACAGAGCGAGAGAGACGCCAGTGGGTCTTGCATCCACTGGTTCACTCCCCAGACGGCTGCAGCGACTGAGCCCAAACCACATTCAGCATTCTCTGACTGCATCCATCTGTCCAACACAGCTGCAGGGGCTGAAGTAGCAGGCTTAGCTCTGCTGACTGGAAGAAGCAGGACTGGCGCCAGCACCCTTGTGGGATACACGTGTTGCAGGTGGTGCGTCCCAATGCTCTGCCACTAGAGCAGCACATCCCACACATTGTGAAACCTTGCATGCTCAGGGTCACCTAATTTACAATACCTTCTAATGTTCTTTTCTGTGTCTGTCTTTGGGGTTAGTCAATAGTGTGCACTTTGCTTTAGGATTCTTGGAGCTCTTGTAGCTGTGCACCTACGAATGCTTGTCGCTTTGATTTCCTTGCACAATATGGCCACACTCTACTTGATTTCAATGAAGATTTCTATGGACAAACATAGGGTAGGTAGCTCTTGGAAGGGTAGCTTAGGACAGCACGTGCTAAGATGTGTGTCAAAAGCATATAGTATAGTGATGTGGGATGGCATGTTGTGTTCCTGTGAAGCAGAATCTATCGAAGTGCATGTTTGTTCAAGTCTTCAGCGGATTGGTGCTGATTTTCTGAGTGTTCTTTTGGTTCTTTTTGTGCATGGTTGAGAACCCAGGGTATGCAAAGAGTCAAAGAAGAACTCGGCCGTGGGGGGCACTGCGCACTGCTGTGTGTCCCTGTGCAGGACAGGTTTTGTGAAGAGAGCAGGAGAAAGAGAAGCATGAAGTGGAGGGGAGGGAAGGCCTTGGCTGGCCGCATGTGCAACCAGCAGCTGGGAGTCCTGATCCATGTTTCCTCACTTGTTCAGTGTACTGAAGCCAGAACAGAAGAGAGCATTTTCTAGTTCCGTTTCTTTATTGAAGCAAACAGTGTCCCTCAGAAAAGGTCCCCACCCCACCCTCTAGATCCCTCCACCTGGGAAGCCCACCCCCCTCCACCTGGGAAGCCCACCCCCCTCCCTCCCTGGGCACAATGGGTTTGAACAACAAGAGTGGCGGTGGTGCAAGAGACAAGGATCCATGTCCTTTTGGCTGGCACGTAGTGGGGCAGCTTCCCAGAGGCCACAGGCTCGCGCCTGGCCTCAGTATCGCATCTTTTTGTTTATATCGCCCCAGGAGTCAGCCTTCCTCTTGTGAGCCTGGCAGTGTGGCACAGACTCCAGAGCTGGGGCCTGTTCTGCAGAGGCCTTGGAGCCAGCCCTCGGGCAAGGCTTGTTTAGTCTAGGGCCTGGGTCCGCTAGAAGAGCCTGCTTCTTGCTATTGGTAGCAGGTGGTGGAGGACCAGTGAAGGCCCTTCCAAGATTGGAGGTGGGCTTGTGTGCTCTGCCTGGTTTCCCAGGTGCAGGACAAGGCAGGTCCTCAGCAGAGACCTGGCTCTGGGCAAGTCTCAAGGGCAGCAGATGGTGCTGTGAATCAAGGAAGAAGGCCAGGCTGGGCAGTTCCTCGTCGTCCTCACCAGTCAGATCCACGACTGGTGGTGGCTCCTCCACAGAGCATTGTCCTTGTGAAGCCCTGGCTGCCTTGGGCACCTGTGTGGAAGGGGCTCTGGGAGAAGTGGGCCTAATGTCCCCCAGTAAAGGACATGTCTTGTCCCCAGAGAAGCCAGCATTGTCTTTGTGCATGGACAGGCGGGTGTCTGGGACCACGCATCTCTCAGGCTTCCAGCAAGACATGCTTTGGGCGGAGGTCTCCGCACTGAGCCCAGGGCTGGGAGCACGGTCATCTCTCTGTGTGCCTTGCAGGGCTCTGGAATCCGAAGTACTGGCTTCCAGTAGGGGTGTCGCAGGCCTGGGTTTTTCCCGCATGGTGCCATCCGTCTTCAAGGGCCAGAGGTTCTTGTCCACCACCTGCAGGAGGAAAGAGGCACTGAGTGGCTCTGCAGCTGGTGTCAGAAGGACCATGGGGTCCAGAGCAGTGGCCAGGGGAGGAGGGAGGCAGGCCAGAGTCGCTGGGCTTTCTTTGTAGAAGGAGGCAGCTGCTCTGCTGTCATCGTGCTGGGGCTGGTTGCAGTGCAGTTCTGCACACTCACCTGACCCTGGTTCTCCTGGCTCCTTGCTATATGTGTGTACCTGCACCACACTGGAAGCAGTTCCTTTGCAAGTCCCGCATGGCCAGCATGTCGGGGGAGACAGGCTCTCGGGGCCTACTGTGCTGGAGACCCACTTGCACACAGTTGACCTAGTTGCAGGCCTCGCCCAAATGTAGCTGCTCTTCCACAGCGCCCCTCTTCTGTTTTCCTGGTGCGTATCCCTGCCCTGTCTGCATGCTGCGCCTTGCTGCCCTTCCCTGCTTGAGGTTCCTTCCTCCCTCCCTCCTTCACCTGGTCAGGGTTCAGCCCTTCCTCCTTGTCCTTGTCCAGCTCTTCGGCTAGGGCCACGAGATCCAGCTGTGGATTTGGTGAAAGGAGCTCTTCCAGGAATCGCGGATGGATGATGGTCTCCACCTAGCAGAGAAGGAAGAGGTTTCTCTCATTCTTTCCAGAAGTCACCAAACTATGGGACTTGAAGGAGAAGCAGAAAGCAGTGAGCAGCAGAGCGCCATGCCCAGCTTGGGATGCCCAGTCGGCAGGGCTGCCAGCTACTCACGCACACTGGTACACCCAGGGGTAGTAGCTAGGGAAGTGAGCTTGATCCAGGGGCATGAGATGGTCACGGCCCAGATTGGACAAATCGTAGAGTGGCACAGCCCACCTTGGTGACAAAGTCATCTTGGGAGCACAGCTGGTCAAGGTAACTCAGGAGCTCTGGGTCGGGGCCCAGTCCCTCCTGCTGGGGCTGCAGCATGCCGTCCTCTTCTGGCTGTTCACTGGGCTGGCCCGAGGCGGAGGGCCCCAGCTCCAGCAGTGCATCCATGATGTCCATGTACTCGCTCACGGCCTCTGGAGGGATCTCCTTGGGTGTCCTTTCCCGAGAGGCCTGGTGTCTTTGTGGCAAGGGTTTGTTGGGCAGAGCTTTGGAGCTGTTCTTCTCGCGGGCATGCTCTATGGGAGGAAAGAGGCGAGTGAGGTTCAGGGGCTCGAGCTCCGCATCAGCCACGTTGCAGAGGGCGGTTGTTGGGCATGTGAGCTGGTGGGGCTGGTCCAGCACAAGCTGCCGACGGCACCTGGAGTGGGCTGAGGTGGAACGTGTGAGGCACTCACTGACATGCCCCGTGGTCTGCCGCCAAGCCCATGTCCTCTGCAGAAGGTGAGGATGTGTGTGGTGTCCCTAGACAGAGGCACTGCCGGCGTGGTCAGACAGCTACTACCGAGTTGTGACCCAAGGCTCAGGCAACGTGGGCTGTCAGGGGCACATGCTGAACAAGAAGACACAAGTGCTGCTCTTGCAGGAAAAGGTCCGGAGGATGGGTTAGTCACACCCAGAGAACCTTGTCCTGTGCAGTGTTGTGTGTGGTGGCAGGGGAAGCTCACTGTACCTGGTTGCTGGAGGGCCACAGGGCTTGGGGGCCCAGGAGGAGCCAGCTGCTGTGGTGTTGGCAGGGGCTGGCACAGGTTCTCTTTCTTCCACCCCAGGTTTTGAATTTGTATCTCCTCCTCTGCCTCAAACTCCGTGAACCTGGGAGAAGGAAAGGCAGGTCCCACTTGAGTGATCGAGGAGGCCCTGAGCCAGCACAGGGCAGCAACTGAGGAGCGAGATATGGAAATGGGCTTTGTGGTGAGCCTGGGCCTACTGAGTTGCAGCGCTGGGAGGGACAAATGTTATGGGAAGCAGCTAAGTGACATGTGGTGTGGTGTGCACTTTCAGACCTGCAACAGGCCTCGTTGACTAAAGCAGGACCAAGCTGACGCCCTGAAGGCCATGTGGGTCTCGAAGCCAGGCCCATGAGGAGAGCTGTCAGCAGAGGCTGGCCAGCACCTCATTTCTCCTAGTCTATTCCAAGGTCCTGGCCCAGGATTAGGGCCTGAGAGGCTGTGGGTCGTTGAGTGGAAGTGTTGGAATTGAGGCTCGAGGGGCAGGTGGGAGGCTGGGGAGTCCTAGCTAGGAGGTGGTATATTTCCATGTCACAGTGGACAGCATGGAGTGGTGGAAAAGGCCCTCTCTGGGCCTTGGGGTATCTTAGACACCAGCTCTCCATGGCCATGCTCTGAAACAGCATCTCTGGGATGGTGTGTCTCACTTTTGGAACATGGGTTTGAGTGGATCGGGCCAGTTCAGTGCATGAGCCTGAGGGGTCTGTGTGGTGCAGCTGGTGCCATGTGCGCAGTGCCCACGGTCAGAAGACAGCCAGTGATGGTGCTGCTTGTTCTACCTCAGCCTTCCAAATGAAGGCAGGTATCCTCAGCTGAAGCTGTGGGAGGATGTTCTGTGCTTGGGGCAGAGTGAGAAGAAAGCAGCCAGAGACCCTCCACAGCCACGTGGTAGGGGCAACACCCTGGGATGGCAGGGCCCCCGGATGGGCTGAGGCCGGAAACAGGCCTCTTGTCAGCCTGTGAGTTGCCAAGTGCGCCCCCCCCACCCGAGGCCTAGCCTCTCTATCCACCCTCCTTCAGCACACGTGGTGTCAGGTGCAGGCATCTTGACTCACTTTTCTGCCATTTCATAGTAGATCATGCGGTCAAAGTTGCTCTTGTGCTGCCATTCCCGCATGGCAATCCGCATGCCATCATCCAGTGGCATGCTGGGCT